TGTTTCCTTTTATATTAATGCAGTTTTTGTGCAACTTTAAATTTTTATTGCATTTTCTCATTATGTTTGAAGTAATTTTGAACTCAAATCTGAGAGAGAAATACTCTTTCACTGTTGAACTTGCCTTTTCTTCCCTAGTGCTTTCTCTAGAGTTTAAATCGCAAAACCAAAGGTAATCCTTCACTTCTCTTTGAATGAAAGCTGGTTTTTCTTTTTGGTTGTCTGCAATAAGCTTTTATAGGTGACAAATATAAGCAGATGCCTTGCTTATGGGACTGTTCCTAGAGGCTCTTTTTAGACTTTCTCAATCCTTTTTCATCTAATAAGACTCTACTTTCCAAATTTAATTATGTATGATTTTTTGGTAATGTTGACAATAGCCTTATTCATTTTTTAAAATATATTTTATTGATCATGTTATTACAGTTGTCCCAATTTTCCCCCTTTGCACTCCTTGACCTGGTATCCCTATTCCCACTGGCAATCCCCCCCTTAGTTCATGTCCATGAGTGATGCATATAAGTTCTTTGGCTACTCCATTTCCTATACTGTTGTTAACATGTTCCTGTCTATTTTGTACCTACCAATTTGTACTTCTTAACCCCTGCACCTTTTCCCCCATTCTCACCCTTCCCCCTCCCAGCTGTTAACCCTCCAAATGATCTCTGTATCTACAATTCTGTTTCTGTTCTGCTTGTTTGCTTAGTTTGTTTTTAGATTCAATTGTTGACAGTTGTGAATTCTTTGCTGGATAGAGTAATCTAGGTTGTAGGTTCTTGCTTTTCATCACTTTAAATACTTCCTGCCAATCCCTTCTAGCCTTTAAAGTTTCTTTTGAGAATTTAGCTGACAGTTTTATGGGAACTCCCCTGTAGGTAACTAACTAACTGCTTTTCTCTTTTTGCTTTTAAGATTCTCTATTTATCTTTAAATGCCTTCTTTGGCATTTTAATTGTGATGTGTCTTGGTGTGGTCCTCTTTGGATCTAACTTGTGTGGGACTCTGTGCTTCCTGGACTTGTATGTCTATTTCCTTCACCAAATTAGGGAAGTTTTCTTTCATTATTTTTTCAAATAAGTTTTCAATTTTTGCTCTTTCTCTTCTCCTTCTGGCACCTTTATGGTTCAAATGTTGAGGCTGTCTCAGGGGCTTTTTAGCCTATCCTTGTCTTTTTGGATTCTTTTTTCTTCTTGCTGTTCAGATTAAATATTTTTTTTCTTCCTTATGTTCCAAATCATTGATTTTATTCTTGGCTTCATCCCCTTCACTGTTGATTCCCTATAAATTTTTCTCTATTTCACTTAGTGTAACTTTCATTTCCTCCTGGGTCTTTTTATGCTGTTGAAGTACCCAATGAGTTCCTTGTGCATCCTAATAGCCAGTGTTTTGAACTCTGCATCTGATATATTGTTTATCTCCATTTTGTCTACTTGTTTTCTGGAGTTTTGTTCTTTTCTTTCATTTGGGCCATGTTTCTTTATCTCCTCATTTTGGCAGCCTCCCTGTGTTTGTTTCTGTCTATTAGGTAGAGCTGTTTTGAATCCCTGTTTTAGTAGTGTGGCCTATTGTAGAAAAGCACACTTGTAAGTTGGGTGGGGTGGAGCCTTAGGTAATCGCCAGGGTGGGGCAACCCATGTATACAAGGTGGATGGAATCTTTGATGTGGTGTTGCCACCCTGTAGCTCCGTGTGGGGGTGGACTCAGAAAGGGGACAATGCCACTGCCTGGCCTCTGGAGTTGTGTCTGGAAGAAAGATGTTCCCTGGTAATTGCCCTGATGCCAGGCACTTCAGTTTCTCCCCATATGCTCCTGGTGCCTTTCTAGCGGCTGCCCCAGCACTGGAGCCCTGGTAAAGTGAGTTTGCAAGTCATAATTCTGTTGCTGGACTTTTAAGAGAGACTCTTGAGAATCCTGCCATTTTTTCCACCACCCCAACCCTACTTGTATTTACAGCCAGAAGTCATAGGGACTTATCTGCTTTGCACTGGGTTGGGTGGTCTGATGTGGGGATGGGCTTTCCCACTCCTGAGGTCCCCCTCTCAATTTTTATCCTCCACACTTCAGTGTGGGACTGCCCATTCTGTGTCTACGTATCTCTGCACCTCTCTGTCTCTGCACCTCTGCTTGTCCTACCCATCTGCATGAATGCAACTTCTTTAATTTTTTGGTTGTCAGATTCCCAGACAGCTCAATTTTCTGATGATTCTGAATGATAGTTGTTTTGTAGTTTAGTTGTCATTTTTGCTGTGGTTGTATGAGGGGGCGAGTCATGTTTACCTTTACCTCCATCTTAACTGTCTGTAATTATGTATGATTTCTATATCTTTTTCTCTTCTGTATGTTTAGTATTCTGTTGTTTGTAGATGAGAATGCTGTTCTACTGTCATTGGTTTATGAAAATCATTTGTGTTTGGGATGTGCTATTCTAATATTTTTTTTCTTCTTCACTCACAATTGAGTGTCATTATTTCAATTTTCTTCCTTGTGACACCTAAGCACATCTTAAAGGCTTTCATATTTAGTATTCTAAAAGGAATTAGAAAATTCTAAGGTGTTTTTGTATGAGTCTTCATTTCATGACAACCTTCAAAGTAGATATCATTCCCTACATCCTTTTTGTTTGTGATGCTTATAGCTTTCAGTTTATTCTTAAAAGATATTTTTTTCAGGTATTTGTAGTTAACACACATTTTTTTTCCTGTGCAAAACTTATAAATTAGGTTTGAGTATCTTTTTTTTTAGTTTTGCTCATTGTTTTTTTTTCTGGTTTTGTTGAGATTCTTTATTTTGAACTTCTCATGGTAGCAAGAAAGGAGAGTTGTTAAAGGGTCTGGACCCAGACTTCAGAGTCTGGGTATGAGTAGTGATTCTACCACTGCCTAGCTATGTGACTTTGGGTAAGTAACTTAACTTCTCTGGGTCTTATTGTAAAAAGAAGAAAATAGTTTCTGCCTTTAGAATTGTTGTGAGGGTTAATTAGTTAATTTATGTAGGGTGCATAGAAAAGTGTCTGGCATTTTGTATGTAAATGTTAGTCATCGTTATGGATTTCATAGATAGGTATGCTCACATTATGCATCTTCTAACTTTTCATAATGGTCAATAAGCATCTGAAACTATCTCCAACTTTCCTACTAATCAAAGTATGCACATTCAAACAACAATAAGATAACCAATTCTGTATGTTATTAATATATTACTACAAATGAAAAGTGACAATTGATCAAGAAGAAAATGGAATGAAACACACTCATGCACAGCCAGTGGAGTAGAAGTGTAAACTTTACCATTGAAACAGTGTGTGTGAAAAAAACACCTTAAAAATTTTTACACTCTTTGGATCAATAATTGCATACCTAAGAATCAACTCTAAAGAAATAATGCAGTACCTATGTGTAATAATGAAGAATTAAAAACTGCCTAATATGCATTATAGGGCTTATTTTATAAGACTCTTGGGGCTGATAGATATTTGTTGAGGGAAATTTAAAATTCCATTAAAATGACATTTGTTTAATAAATTGCTGTGTAATTCATGCTTATCTTAAGATATAAAATTATATGATGCAAGTACATTTTTTAATTATTAGGAAAAAGAAAGAGGAAATATAATTGTTAACAATTTTTACTAATGTTAATGACAGTTGTTAACAGTGTTTTTTATTTGTAGAATTATAGATGATTTTTCTTCTGCTTTTTGAAAAAGGCTATTATGTATGTCCATATATGCTAAAAAGAGGGCTTCTCTTTGTAATTTGATTGGAGGGGAAAGAAATTTGCCAAATGGTGGTAGAATTTTTAAAATGCAGAGAAGGATGACCAGTAAAATTGACAGCAGTCTAGGATCAGGGTGAACCAGTCCAGGTTACCCCTGCCATTGACAACCAGGATGGTCAGTATAGGGCACTTAACTTTTGCAGAAAGTAGAAAGTACTTTAAAAGCATGACTTCCTGCATGAAAATAAGGTTGACAACTAAATTATTATGATTGAATACCTAAAATATTGTTAATAGCAGTATAAATGGTGGTTTCATTTTCATGATTTTTTATAACAATTACAATGAACAAAGTAGAAAAAAAAGATTCCCATGCTCCCTTGGTAAGTAATGAATGGCAGAGGCTTTGTGATAGACTGCCTGCTTGTCCAACAGGCATCTGTATTTAGGACAAAGACTTTTCATCCAATAGTTTCCTTAAATAGGTGGCCACCCAGAGCTAACTGTAATATCCAGCATGTGATGGGATATTGTAACTACTATGGCATCTGTCACTGTTCTAGACATTGAAAAGGGAAAAATCACCAGCAACAACTTCTAATGCAGGAAACTGTCAACAACAATGAATTCCAATAAAAAACATCTTTTCTTTAGAGAGTTTAGAGAACTTTTTGTAAATCAAGTTGGTTTTCAAGCATGTTTTTCAGCATAATGATTATTTTCTAGAGGATGAAATGGAAGTTTGAGAGGTTGCATGCTGTGATTTGCTCAGAAAGCTGGCAGTGAAACTTTAATCACCTTTGCTGCCTCCTCTCAGTCTAGGGCCCTATCTGTAGCTGTTCTATGAGGAAGGGATTTCTACCCTCAGCATTTGTAAATGACGCCCCAGGGAGGCATTTGGAAAGATCATGTTCCTTTGGGGTTGTTCACTGTAACTGTGGTCAAAGGATTCTTTCCATTTACCCACCCAGATGAAATTTGTGGCAGTTTGGAATCTGGATGCTGACATGATAAATTATAAAATATTGAATTTCTATGTGTCTATGTGATTTCAACTTTGATCTTCATTTTTGATTATGCAATTAATCACATCTATGTCTGTCTGTCCCTGGTGTTCTGAGGGTAGATACTTTCCTATTATCTTAGGCCTAAATACTTCATCCAATTTAAAAGGAGCCCACAGCGTGGAACTTCAGCCTAGAAAAGGCAACATTCACTCTGCCAAAAAAAAAAAGAAAAAATAGCGCATTGAATAACTGAATTCTTACTTTATGACATTTCAGGAGTTTGACCAAGATGATGACTGCAGTCATTCGATATTGGTTAATGAAGGAGGAGATCCAGGTGGCGACACACAAGATTGGCAACGCAGGACAGAAGGTATCTCAGCTTCTGTCCTTGAGGTGTTTACAAAGATAACATGGAAGATAATGTGAATTATTTGGATTTCTCCCATATTTCAGAAGCACTCAGTGAAGAACTTTGAAAACACAGAAAAGCACAAAGGGAATAGAAAAACATTCATAATTCTATCCTTTGGTCCACATCCAAATTAGTGAGTCTTGTCAACTTGCTCTGCCAAAATGGACATCCCTTTGGTGTCCCTCCTCTCTATCCTACCCCATTTCATCTCACCCAGTCATTTTATGCCCCTTTCCTTTTTGTTTGATAATACCTCTCCCTGCCCCCCTGCCCCCACCATTTCTTTCCTCATAGACTTTTCCATCAGCAACAGGGATCTGTTCCTTTCAGAACCAGGCATTTGTCCGTCAGCTGCTGTCCTGGAGCTGCTGAGAAGATGGGGGACTGAACAAGGCACTAAAGCTCCAAGTCTCAATCTTTTATCCTAAGGGGCCATAAGTCTGGAATTTTCGAGAACGATGACTCATTCCAAATATGTCACCCTGTCATATCTTTAAGTGTCCTTGTATTTAACAGACCACAAGGCATTTGCAAATTTTCACTTCAGAAAATACTCATCATAGTATTACATTTGTCTATCACGTTTGCCTATAAACTTCTTAAATTAAATGTTTATTCATACTGTGCAATTTTCTGACTTCCATTTCTTACACGCCAGGGAAGCTGCGCTCATGGATGTCTTTTTTCCTCTCAGGTCTGTGACCCTCCCTGGGTGCCGCGGTGCTAGTTAAGCCGCGCCTCCTCTGGCCCCTTGTGCGATGCTGCCCTCTGCTGGGAAGCCTTCTCCATCTCACTCAATCTCTGCCCAGGTTGAAGGCCTAGAATAATTTAGTAACATTTGAAATTCTTATTAAGCCACGAACCCTGAAAGACCTAATTAAAATTAAAAAAAAAAAAATCCTGCTCCCTTTCCAAACAGTCTTTTGGATTGGCCTTTGACTTTCAAAGACTCAAAGCCAAGTTCTCAGAAAACCAGCTGTGTTTCAAGCACCTTCCAAGAGATTGTTTGTCCATTGTAGTATTGTATTAAAGAGATCATCACTAAAATATATATGTAATCTGCATGTTTGGATCACTCCCATAGGCTTTAACAACTCAGTGTTCCTGTACAATGCATTTGCTTCAATATAGGCTTTTACAGATGTGTAAAATACAATTTTTAGACGCCAAGAAAAACCCCAAACAACCAAACAATAACATCAACAAAAAACACAAGACCCTCCTCTTTTTCCTTAGTATAAAAATCTTTTATTCCTCAATCAGCTATTTTCCCAGAACATAACAGATACAAACCTTGTAGACTGGAAATTAAATGTGTAAAACTGCTCTTTTCATGAGTGAATAAGAATCTATTTCCTGAAATTAGTGGACTTAAATTTTTTTTTAATACTATAGTGTTTAGACATCAAGGCTGTTAGTTGCGAATAATAGATTCTGCTCTAGCTGTGTTAAAAAGGAAGCTTTGAAAAGATGTTAGAAAGTTTATAGAACATTGAAAAGCCAAAGGAGAAGAACAAACTGTAGGCTGGATTTTCAGAAAGAATTCTCACAACTACATCTCGAAAGTGGCTGCTACTGGCCCCAGTCATGCTGCCTCTGCCCCAGCCAGGGAACCGCTTCCACGTCAGCCTGGGCTCTCAGCAAAAAGGAAGGCTGCGCCTGATCATTTTCCATGTAAATCATGTGAACCCGCCTCTCAAGTTATTTTTCTGAACTGGAGTGGCAAAGGAGGCTGGAAAAATGTAGTTTTTGAAAATCCTTTGTTGAGATTTATGATTTAAGAAATTATCAAAACGTGGAGAGGTTATCAAAGTATTTTGAACCTTGATGCCCATCAACTTAAGAACAAGTAGAAAACACAGCAAAGTGAGACTTTTCAGGACAAAATAATTTTTCTTTAATGAATGAATTAAGCTTAGTCCATTTTCGTTTTCATTTTAATAATGGCCTTTACATTATAAATTAATCATTTTTAGGCTTTATGAATGTCATTGTTACCACTTTTGTGAAGAAATTATGTTTCTGCTTATGCTTAAATGTTGTCTTTTAGTTTTTCTGCTGCAACATTTTCTGGCGGGGTTAAGTTATACCTTCTTATGTGGAAAGATGCACTCAGGTGCAAATGGGTTTTTTTTTTGGCATACGACAATGCATCATCTTTCCTGGCCCACTGGGTAGGTTCTGAGGCTCCCACAATCACTCACAGTATTCGAGAGACAGAAGGGAACACATTTATATGTTCCCACCTGATTTCAGAGTCAGCACATTTTACAATTTCTTTTCCCATTTAGGGTCAACAATAAGAGAGCCCATTCGCTTTTCACAATTTCATAAAAAGCAGGTATTTCTTATACCTACTTATTGTATCTTTGTTCTCTGGTGTGTAAAAGAAATCAACCAATTAACAGACTTTTGAACACACTAAATTTGCTTTAAAATCTTCTGGATTTATTAGTCCTCAATAATTGTAAAAATACAGTCATTCTTAAGAACATGTTCTTGTGGATACACTCTGCACAGTTTTCTAAGTTCCACAGCAAAGTACTAACTGTGTCTTGCCTTTATATAGAACGTCCTTTTCACTGACCATTGTTAGGAATGGATGCTGTGTGTTTTTCTTACTCCTAACATATCATCTAGGCTTTTGCACTCTAGGATGATTGCAAAAATGTTATGAAAGACACCCATCTTCCTTTCTAGTACTAGAGTGGCCCTGATCATGTCACACAACTTCATGGGTGTCAGTTTCTTCTTTTCTAAAATGAAGGGCTCACAGTAGTTTTTTAAGGCCTCTTTGTTTAACATGGTATCGTAAGCAAGTATCAATTCTACAAATTGGAACTTTTTATTTTAAGGGTTATACTGGGAATCATTCTATGGAATCAGACCAAAGATCACCGAAATTACAAATATGAGCAAGTTCCATGGAAATACATAAATTATCTCATTTAATGCTCACAGCAGTCCTCTGAAGTAGGTGTCATCAGTTACAGTTTGGAGAAGGGAGACTTGTTTTTTCTATCACAGGGACAGCATTGCTCACAACAAAAATTTATTTTACATGTGGAAAATTTTGTTATACTTTTTTTTTTTTTTTGCTCTTCAAGCAAGCATTTATTTAAGGCCTATCATATGCTGAACAGAAAGGATACAAAGATGGCTAAACTTCCTGGTTAATTCCATTCTGTAATCACTAAGAATGCCAAATAACCAAAAATAAAACACTTCCTTTGGTTACCACTGGAAATCATTACTTTCTTCTTTTTCCTACTGTTGTCATGTGCTTCTGTAGGTGTAAAGAATATTGTTACCTTTCCAAAAGATGTACATCACCCCCAGGAAACAAGCCAAGAAGATATAAAAGAAAACAAGTAAGTAGTATTCTTTGAAGTGTTAGATTGGAATTTAAGTAATGGTACTTGTGTGGCAATGTACCTTTTTAGCAAGCCAACCAAAAAGAAGAAAAAAATCACCTGCAAGCAAGAGCCATTATTGTGGTAGGGCCCAGATAAATATTTGCAGGCCATACGATTTCTGTGGCCATGCTTCATCTCTGCAATTGTATCTCAACTGCAGTCATGGACTGTTTGCAAACAAATGGGTGTGTGGCTGTGTCACAATGAAACTGGAAAGGCAGACAGGAGGCCAGAGTTTGCTTTCCCTGCAGCAGATCTTCTTAAAGTGCACTTCTGTGGTCCTTCTCTACCAGTCCATGATAAAGTCAGTATAAACTTGAAAATTTAAACATTTAAAATTGTATAGCATTTGGCAAAGTAATGTTATGTTCATGAATCTGGTCATGAAAAAGATTGGGGTTTATTTTTGGTTTTGATTTTCATTTCATTTTTATGGCAATTTACTTTTATTACTTTTTGGAAAGTATTAGTCCATAGTGGACTGGAAAATTTAAAAACTGATTCTTCAACAAAGATAGTTTGAGAAGCATTCGGCTGGTTAACAGCTTTAGAGAAGTAGAAGGGTGCCCTTGGCCCCTCTGCTCAACATAAGGACTGGGAAAACTAAAGTGTGGGGTGCAGGGAGCAGACAGTGTAGGGAGCAAGTTGGAACGGGGAGACGTCTTATCCTCTCAGGAATACAGCCTCCTACACAGCAGCACCATTTGGAAATAGTTTTCCCAACTTTCCTGTGATGCCAGGCTGCACTGAGAATCAGAGATCCAGAAGACTTGGGGACTGAGTTTTAAATCAAGCCATGTCCTTCCTCTTTTAGTCAGATAACTTCAGTGCATCAAGAATGGGCACAAGCAGATTCTGTTTCTCTTCCAAATGAAATTGAAACAATGGACTTTAGAACAAAGGTGCCAGCCACACAGCCTTCACTCCTGAAGAAAGAGGAAAGCTCCAGGGAGCTCTGCGACGAGAGCTTGGGCTCCTTGTTGCCAAGACCTTGCTTAGAATCCAGCATCTCCAAATCTGTAAGCAGGGAAGGTGTTCCTCCCTTTCTGAAAGGCCAGCAAAGAAAACCTGAAGGTGAGTCCATTACAGTATTTTGCCATGTATAATGCACACTTTTTTTGCCCAAATTTTTGAGGGAAAATAAGGATGCACATTATACATGGCTATAATGATTACATAACATGGATATGATAATAGGTTTAATAGTCCCATGTACAATGCACACAAAAACACGGGTGGGCATTATACATGGCAAAATACGGTAATTACAGTGATTCTTTTATTCTTTATTTAACAAATGTTTGTTCATCTTTTTTTAAATCATCACCCAAGGATATGTTATTGAATTTTGGAGAGTGGGAGGGAGACAGAGAGAGACAGAGAGAGAGAGAGAAACATCCCATTTGCCTCCCACGTGAACCCCAACCAGAGATCAAATCAGCAACATTTGGTGTACAGAACAACACTCCAACATACGGAGGCACCCAGCCATGGCTATCTATCTTTTTCTTGAATGTTTGAAAATATTTACTGTGAACTCATATTTATTGATCTTTATCTGTGGGAATCTTGGGGCTCTCACTGAGGATGCTTTCCTGCAAGATTTGAGTTTGCCGCTTTCTCCAGCCTACTACAGATGGACTAGCTAGCAGCCCGGGTGCCAGCATTTCCCTTCAGGGCGATGCTGTGTTTGATATTTGCTCACCACTGTCCTCAACAAGCTGGCCAACCACCTGGGACAAATGCGTAGTCCAAAGTGTTACATTTATTGGCTTATTGCAATGAGGGAGATCGTTCGGCATGGGAACTGTGAGGTATCTCATCAAATAAAGGAGAAAATAAAATAGTAAGATTTAGGGGAATGAGTAGAGCTTAAGTAAAATTTAAAACAGTATTTTATTATAATTTAACATTTTTATTGTGGTAAAATGTATATAACTTAAAAGTTACTATTTTAACTGTTTCACATGTACAGTTTAGCAGCATTAAGTACATTCACACTGTTGTGCAACCATCACCACCATCCATTCCCAGACTTTTTTCATCTTGCAAAACTGGTGCTCGCTACCGATTGAACTGTAGCTCCCATTCTCTTCTCCCCTGTGACCCTTAGTAGCCATTCACTTTTGGTCACTATGAATCCGTCTATTCTAGGGACTTCATGTAAGTGGGGTCATACAATGTTTGTCCTTTTGTGTCTGGCTTATTTCAGTTATCATAATGTTGAAGCAGTGTTTGGGTAGGTTGCAAGCAAGGGTGTTAACATCGGGTCTGGACTGCGAAGTAGACCCAGAGTCTTGTTCCGCAAAATCAGCAAAGGTAGCTCCAGCTCTCAGCAGCCTCTCTTCAGCTTCCTAACTTGCCGCTCTTCCACAGAAGTATGAAAAATAGCACTACTAAATGCCTTCCTTTCCCAGAACAAATATGTAAATATTTGCACATACTGTTGTTTTTCTGCTAGTACACTATGCCATTCTTCATATGTCACCTGAGATACTACTTCCTCTCGAAGGTCTTCCTGAACTTCCTAAATATTGGATAAGTCACCATTCCTTTCAGCTCCCATAGAATCCTGCAACAGAACACGCATCATGCAGAATTGTCACTGTTTATATGTCTGCCTTTCCCAGATTGCAAAGGCAAAAATCATTGCACCATCAAGCACCTAGCACCAGACCTGTTAACAGTTAACAGTTTTAACTATTAAAAACTGTGCATTGAATTAAAAAGAACAACAACCACTTATTAAGTGTCTACTATTGCAAGGCATAAATATCCACTGATAGAGGTAATATATAGAAGACTTGTTTTAGGAATGAGGAAACAGCCCCAAGAAAGCTGCGTGTACCCGGGTTACTTCACTAGTGAATTATAGATGTTGGATTCAGACCTGGACCACCTGTCTCTGAAGCCAATGTGCTTAAGCAGCATTCCATCCGCTTTCAGAGTTCACACCTTCCATCTGAGTTCCTCTCTAGTTATGAGTGAAGAAAAGGATAAACATAATTAGTGTTGTAGTGGAGATGGTTACAGGGCGCCCACCCTGCAGCCCGAGGCCGCATGTGGCCCAGGATGGCTGTGAATGCGGCCCAACACAAAATCGTAAGTGTCCTTAAAACATTATGAGATTTGTGTGTGTGTGATTACGTGTTACAATGTATTTAATGTGTGGCCCAAAATAACTCTTCTTGCAGTGTTGTGCAGAGATGCCAAAAGGTTGGACACCCCTGGGAGAAAAGGAGGGACAGTTGGTGCAGGTATAAACTGGTGGGAGTGTGGATGGAGGGACTGAAATGGACGTCATGGAAACACCCTCTTCTCCTAGACAAACTACAGAAAGTCTCAAAGATGAAAAAAAAGTAACTATGTACACCCAGACAAGAATAAACATGGTTAGATCAGTGTTCTGTAATGGAAGCTGATCTATAGGTGCCGCGATCTTATTTGAAAATGCCACCTGGGGTTTCCCAGGCCAGTATTGGCCACCTACCCTTTGAAAAACTTGTTTAAATGCACTTTTTAAAAAGTTAGACAATCAATATATATTGATTAAGAAAAATTCAGGCCCTCACTGGTGTGGCTCTGTGGGTTGGGCATATTACCACAAATGGAAAGGCTTCCAGTTCGATTCCCAGTTACGGGACGTGCCTGGGTCATGGGCCAGGTCCTCAGGTGGGGACATGCAGGAGGCAACTGATGGATGTTTCTCTCACACATTGATGTTTTGTTCCCTCTCGTTCTTCCTCCCTCCTCCTGTCTCTAAAAAAAGTAAACAAATAAAATCTTTTATAAAATTCAGGAAAGATGGATGAGCAAATATAAAAAATAAATAAGTACAAGTAGTATTCCAAGACCATTTCTTCTAGAATGTCCTTCCATATTCCTAAATAACGTGTTTATGAAGATGTTGCTTAATTATTCAATTTAGACCTTCTCTATTAGAATTTAACACTTTTACATTAGTCTCCTCACACGTGGGCAATCCCTAATCTTCTCAATCTTTGTGTTTAAAAGAAATCAATGTTCAGTGTGTTTATTATTATGACTTGGTAAAATATTTACATCTGAGCTCATTTGTGTGCTATGATTACATTTTCTCTCTCCTGAGACATTGTGTTTACCACAGTGTTAAGAAGAGCTTCCTTTCAGTATTCGCTTCCTTTCTGTACCCTCCCTAATCCATCCCCATCCAGTCTGACACCTGTAAAGTGCAGCTGCACATCAGATAATCTGTTGGTTAGTTTTGTCTTTGGAGACATTGCTCCTGGAATCTTCTGCCCTCTTATTTCATTCTGTGTTGCTTGCTTTGGACCCACTGACCAGCTCTGCCTGGGATTCCCTCACCATCATCTTGAAAATTCCCTTGGCCTCCCTGCTGCATTGGACCCTGTGTACTGGATACTCAGCTTCCTCTTCCTTGATTTAGTCTCTCATTTTAGTGGGTACATTTTCCAGTAGCTTCCCAAGAATGGTGCATTAATGATAGCTTTTCATTGTTTCTATTTCTTCTGAGCTCTTTACTTTCTTTCCGTTTGTTTTAGTCTCTGTATTTTCACATTAGAGGCTTTTTTTTCACATATCAGTTGATCCTTGGCTCTCTACATATTTGTATTTAAGAGGGCAGCACGAAAAAGTACAGAGCACTTCAGGGGCTTGCTGGACGCTTGGGTGAGGGGTTCCCAGGTGTGCAAAGCGAGGCTTTTCTCTCAGTGGGTTTCCCTAGAAAGAGGTTACCCAGGCTCCTGTCTACAGGCTGTAAGTCTAGGGCTTCACAGGGCAGTGTGCACTTTTTCATTGAATCCTCTTATTTTCACTGTATTTCTGCTCTCAGCTGCACCTAGGTCCTTAGCATCTTTGTTTCAAGCTCTCCAGAGGGTAAACTTCCAGCCCTCAGCCAGGAACAGGGAAGAGCAAGTCCTGACTAGCGGGGCAGGTCAGGGAATCTGGAACTTCCTCCTTCCACAGACTTAGAAGCATCTCTGTTTTAGCCTCAGCTGTATTCTCACCTTCAGAAGTACCTGGTGTCTTCATTTCCTGATCCTTGCCCTTATTTCTCGTTGAGTTCTCCCCTCTGCAGACATTGAGCAGAGTAGAGAAAGCTGGCAGCTAATCAATTATTATTCACGCATATGGTTTTCATTGCCCAAAAGTTTGTTGGTGTTGCTCATCTGCTGCTTTATCCTCTGGGTTTTTGCTGTTCTTACTCACACCTTTTTGAATTCCTTTACTGTCATTTTAGTGAGGTTTGTGAAGAGAGTGGAGAAAAGTTGTACGTTCAATCTTTTAACTGGAATTCTATATACATTTTTAAAGGCTTTCAAATTACCTACCAGAAAGATCTTATATCTGCATCTCATCAGAAATGTTTGAGTGCCTTTCTGCCACATGTCATTTCTTTCCAACACTGGATACTATTTATCCAAATATTTATAATAATATTTGCAAATTAAAAAAAAACTCAGGAAGTTATCCATATACACCCACCTCTAAATAATATTCGTTTGTATTTCTGGCATTCACTGGTAGGATCTTTTCGAAAGGAAATCTCAGTCTCTAGAATATCACCTCTGTGAGGGCAAGGATTTTGTCTTTGTTGTTCACAGCTATACTGCCATCTTCTGGAACAGTGTTGGCCACTCAGTAGGCACTCAGTATTTGTTGAATAAGTGCATAAAGAGTTGGGAGCAGATGCCTTGGCCAGCTGTGGCTAATAGAAAGACCTTTGCCCCTCCATTTGGGATCCTCATTTCGGGTGACCATCTTTCACCTGAGAAAGGCTCCTTTACCTGTGTTACGTCTTAGAAAGGACTGTCTCTAAATGAAATTGATGGTAGGGAGATTTCACATAAAGTCTCCAGCTTTCTATCTTCTCTTGACAGTAGGGAGGCCTAGCAGCAATGGATTACCCATCTGGAATGGACAGCCTCAATCAGAACTTGGTAATGGATCTCCCTTTAGTTGAGGCTCATGATTTCCATTCACCACTGTCCTCACCTGTCCCACTTCATCCATTTATGTGACCTGCTTTGACTCTGGACACATTGGCACTTTTGGTTTCAGCGTCAAGCTAGGGCGGTGCATGGGGTTTTGGGGACTATTCTTACTTTTTGGTAAGAGGACAAAAACTAGGTTTTGTACTAACTAGTACATTCATTTCCCCTTCCCACACACCTTCCCTTCAGCATTTGTGGTGTATTCCAAGTTTGAGTTCAGATAACTGTTGGGAGACAATTATACATGAATATTCTCACATTTCTGCAGAATCCAGATTTTCTGAGCAAAAAAGCACTAAGAAACTAGGTTAAAAGATGATTGAATGATAAAAATATCTTAGAAATTAGAGATAGTGTCCTGTTGCAGAGAGATTCAGAGGCTTATTTCCTCGGGAGCTGTTTGCTTATGTTCTAGGGTAATAAAACCCAGAGACACATTTTTTTCTTTCTCCTGGAAACATTTGCTTACTCACCTCATTATGCAGAGAACAGGAAACATAGTAAAGATCTCTCTTTCTTGGGAGGAAAACATTGGATCGAAGTGCCAAACACTTTATATAAGCTCTAAGTCTCATGATTCCTGTGGTGCTACCCCACTATGTGTCCAGGCAAACATCTGGCTCTCAGTGCACTGCCCTGAAATTGGGGCGTCAAGAACTGGTGTTGTGATGCTGTGTAATACTCTATTCTCTGTTCCAGAGATCTCGTGTTTCCTGCCAGAATGTAAATATAAATATATATACATATACACACAAACACATGTTTTATATATATGTGTATGTACATGTACATATATATAAAAAAGACATAAATATAACCTACATGTATATGAGAAATAATATTATATATAAAACAACAACCTCCTTTAGCAGAAGTAGCCTAAGGTTTTGTGTAATCATACCAACCTCTACTGGATTACACCTGGAATAACTCTTAATTTTGACTTTTTCAAACCTCAGCACCAAGACTACTCTATCATCAAACTCTGGTGTAAGGCAGACTGTGTTCACTCAACGACTAAGAATATCTAATTTTCATTATTTTTTCTTGTTATAGAGTTTTCTACCTCTGATACGAAGTACAGTAGCCGAAGAATTGAGGTAAGATTAGTTTTAACATTATTGACTTAAGGATTAACACCAAAGAACTTTTGTTGTTAGAGACAAACTCTATCAAAGAACTCAGAACCGGAATCCTCAATTATTTCTTGGAAAAACAACAATTCACATATAGTTTATTGAGTAGCAAATAATTTCTGGGGAAACTATACCCTGCCATATATATATTTCTTCTGGAGTATGTTTCCTGTTCTCTGCATAACAAGGTGAGTAGCTTCCTTAGACATATTTAAATTTGTCTTTTATTAGAAATTAGGTCATTTTTTTTTCCAGTGACAGAAAGATTTTTTTTTAGTTGTCTAAATTATAAGTAAAGCATTTGGAAAGAGCCTTGCAATTCTCCCAACTGTCCAGCTCCTCTGTATCCAAGAGCCTTTCGGAAAATGCATAGGTATGCTTATTGTTGTAAAAGGGGTTTACTGTCCTAAAAAAGGGCTGCTCTTGGGGAAATGTTTAAGCATGTGGAGAATCTGTTTTTATTTCCTGTTACTTTTAAGAGATGAGAGAAAATCATCTAGGGAATAAAACTGGGGGATAACACTGCATCTCATCCGATTGTGATGTTTAAGTTTCTGATGTCGGGTTCCTTTCCTTTGCCTCTTTTCTTACACACAGTTGACAATAAAATGAAAATAAAACATGGAGCTATCAATTACCACTCAAGAGCCAGCCCATGAATATTCTAATTAGGTATTAAATCTGTATACCAAGGCAAAGGTCTCAAGGAAAAGAAACATAAAGTTAGTTTAAAGCAACCTGAAAGCTGAATATTATACACTGGGTTTTACTGACCTCTAGAGGTTGATAATAATAAAAAACTAGTTTAGTCTGAAACGAATTGGAGGGCAAAGGAGAATTATAAACCATCAGGGTTGTTAATTTTCAAGTGTATAGTATGGCACATTTAAAAGCTACTTCCAACAAAACAATTCAGCAAAACAATGAGGACTAGTTGTATTCTGGATACAAATTATCAGTTAGTCTGTAACTCATTGTTAAAATACATGTAAACAGCAATTTTAAGCTGTTCTAAGTGGAAATTTAAAAAATCTTAGATTGCCCCTGGCTGGGTGGCTAAATTGGTTAGAGTGTTTTGTGGGTTTGAGCCTCGGTCAAGGCACAAACAAGAAGCAACCGATGAATGTATAAATAAATGGAACGACAAATCGATGTCTCTCTCTTTCTCCCTCTCTCTCTCTCAATCTTCTCTCTCTCTCTGTCTCTCTCTTACATCAATAAATAAGAAAAGATATTTTTTAAAAATCTTATATCAATTCTTTGGAAAATAAAAAGAGAAGAGAAATAAAATGTCTCATCTTATAGGGTCTTTCTTTTAAATATATAAGCATGATTCTCTATGATAATTTTGGTTTCTAAAAGTATTATTTTACCTTGGTTCTAAAGAACACTGAGAATGAGCTTTTAGCTTTTAAAATTGTGATCTCCAGGACAGCTTTGTACTTCCTAAGTATAGGGCCTTCATAAAGAGAATCTTAGATTCTCTTCAGATTACTTTAAACCAGTTAACATGATATGCATATATGTTTCTGTATTCATTAGCTTTTTCTCTCTTTTCTTTTAGTTTCCTCTACCACCATTATCACTCTTGCCCATGAGACCTGTTTTTTTTACTATCCCCCCAAATCATGAGGATCAAAAAGAGAGAGGAAGAAATATTCCAAGTCTTGTATCTTCTGTACCTAAGTTCTCAGAGCCTGTTAGTCGATCTGATGAGTTTAGACCATCAAACAAACAACTGGAAGCCTCGTTTAAGGTGTTTATGTATCAAACTCTCAGGTCCTCTGATTGCTCTATCTGGTCCAGAAACATGTGCTCTTTTCAGAAGGCTAACCATCACAGACAACCCCTGGAGATGGAGGAGAAAAGGACATCTAAGGAAACAGTTGGATGTGACAAAATTCAAACCTCTCACTTTGAAAAAAGGCACTCTTGGATGTCCTCTGAGAATTTTAAGGAAGGCAATTTTCCTGCAGATAGGGAGGTGGATATCGACTGCCTTGATAATGACATGAGAAAAGCAGAAGAGAACTTTCAATCTCTCTCATCAGGAAAGGTAGAGGCCTCTGTAGCCAGAAACTATGAACAAAATTCAGATGTTGAATGTACCATGCCAATCAAATTCCAAGAAGCCCAGCATTCAGAAATAACTCTATGCAAGGATAAAGAGGTTAGAAATGATAAAGATGATTCAAAAAGTGCTTCAGTGCATAAAGGTGAAGTAATTGAGCCAAATCAGATTTTGGAAGAGTTTACTGTTCTTAAAAGTTTGTCCAATGTTATTCCTGACGGCCCCACTGAAAAGCTCCCAGGTCATAACATGGAGACAAATATAAAAATATCAATAGCAGAGGCAACCAAACCAGAAATGAATGGGACAATGCCTCTTACCCACGTCCCTTTCCCTGGAGATGAGACTCCCAAGGAACCTACAATAGCCAAACCACGCCTCCGAAAGAGAAAGAGCATCCTTCATAACAACAATAGCTTCAACATACTTGCACACAAAGAAAATGAAAAGCATAAGATGAAAACCCACAGAAATAAGTCGGATTCAAAAACTAAGACCAGTAACAGGGCACCTCAGAATTTCATGATTTCCGTCAAAAGTTCCATTAAGCCTACCACGCATAAAGCCAGCATTAAAACTCAAGTTTTCCCTTCTTTGGGGCTTATTGACCCCAGACCTCAACAATCACCCAAGTTTCAAAGGAGAATGCCACAGATAGAAAAGAAGCAAGCAACTTACCAGACTCTGAAACCTAAAAAGCAATCATTTCCCTGCATCTGTAAAAACCCAGGAGTAAAAAATTCTTCAGTTCCTCTCCTGGTTCAACCAACAGAGCCAAGACTAAATTACCTAGATCTTAACTATAGTGATATGTTCAAAGAAATCAATTCAACTGCTAATGGACCTGGAATCTATGAAATGTTTGGGACCCCTGTTTACCGTCACGTGAGAGAGACCGAATGTCATGAAAGCAGATATTACCGAGGGACATGCTCAGCTCCATCAGGCAGATGTATCACCAGTAAATGTCAACCCTCACACAGTGAGAGGAGCAGCAATAGCAGAACAAGACTTTCTCAGAAGAGACCACATGTTAAACCCCTCAAGCCTTTACATGGAATTAAACACAAGCACAAAAGTTTAATTTCCAAAGAAAAAGGTTGCAAAGCTGTAGGTAGCAACCTACAATTGATTGAAAATGGTGCCGGCATATCAGAATCAGAGAGGCAGATGAAGTCTTCAGGAAAAGACTTTCTATCTTCCAAAGACGAAGCTCAGCCCATGAACTTTGCTCAGACTCATGAGCAGTCTGTTAAACAGAACGAATTCCTTCCTGTCTCAGATTTGTCCATTGTTGAAGAAATCTCTATGGACGAGTCTGCTGATGAAGGAGACATTTCTAACAATCAAATACTTGCCACAAGCCTCAGAGATCTGCATGAACTTGAAGAGCTATATCACCAGACCCCATTTTTCCTTTCGGAAGACAGCAGGGCAGTGCCCAGTGAGAAGAGTTTCAACAAGCATGTACCGCAAGAAAAGCAGAATACAGCATCTCTTGGTAAAATAAATGCCAACCAAATTTTAACGAATGATATAGAGTTTGATAGCTTGATAGATAAGTCTAAGACACTTGTGAATTTCTCTTTCCAAGAGAGACAAACATACCAACATTGGGCATATTCTATGGAGCGTGATAGTTTAGCTAATAAATCAATTACACATCAAATGTTTGGAAAAACTTTAAGTGATGCAAATTCAATTTCCCAAGATATTCTAGACTCTATAAAGAATGAGGAATTGACAGATGAACTATTAGGTTGCCTAGCTGCAGAACTATTAGCTCTTGATGAGAAAGATAATTCTTACCAGATAATGGCAAATGAAACAGATCCTGAAAACCTAAATCTTGTCTTCAGTTGGAGAAGAAATACCACACAAGAGTTGGGTGGAGAGACAACAAATGCCAAAATACAGGTTGGTATAATTAGAATCAGTGATTTAATTGCGGTGGGAAAGGACCCCAGAGACAATCTGGCTCAAACCCTTAGTTTTCAAATGAGGAATCAGAAATCCTAAACAATGAAATACTTTCGTCCAGGTCCCATTGTTTGGTTGCAAGTTTGGAATCCAGGACTCCTGGCTCTTAGGCTCAAATGTTTTCATTATGCTGTTTTACTTCTGGAAATTAGCTAGCCTGACTGCAGTGGAAAAATTGGGGGTATGTTAATAGAGCAAAACTACTTATTTAAATAGATGAGTATTTTATATAGTGATGAAATTTCAATCTACAAACATCAGCAGTGATGACCCGACCGCTATGGCTCCATTGGTTGGGCATCATTCTGAAAAGCAAGGGGCCGCAGGTTTGGTTCCCAGTCAGGGCATGTACCTGGGTTGCAGGCCATTTCCCCAGTTGGGGGCATGTGAGAAGCAACAGATTAATGTTTTTCTCCCTCTCTTTCTCCCTCCTTTTCCCTATCTCTAAAAGTACATAAGTAAAATCTTTTAAAGAAGAAAAATATCAGCAGCAAGGTAATTATGAGTAAAACATTGCTCTGGTGTGTGAGTAGAAAGAAGTGGTTCACCATCTATTTTACCACAAAAATCTTGGTGATGGCTACTGTGTTTACGGCAGCGGGCTAGGAACTAGAGACACAATGGGATACAAGACAGCCATTGCTCTCAAGGAAGCATAAACAATAATCTTGAAAATTTTTTTATACCTGTTTGTCATGGGAGTAGGGAGAAAAAAAATCAACAGATAGTTGAGTTTTGCTAGTTTTAGTTCTCACGGAAGTACATGAGTCCCCTGTTCTCAAATTTTAGGGATGGATACAGTTGGTTTAGCTGAACTGTATTGAGCATTAACTCAGGTTATATCACACTATAACAGGATCAGGAATAATTGTCTTAAATAGTTGATCAAAAGAATACACTTGGTAAATAATTATACCATGACTAGGTTTACTAAGAACTTACCACATATAAGTGAGATGCATCATATTGTCTGCTTTGTATGCTTCATAACAGCTCCATGAGACATATACTAAAGGTACTAGCAAGCCCCCATGTCGCAAATGAAGAGGTTGAAGTTTAGATCATCCAGTCAGTGAGTGGTGGCCAGGCATTCTGATTCCAGCCTCGCACCTTTAATTACTTAATCACAGTGGAGATATCCCTCTACCTAAAAGGCCAGCTCTACTTCCATTGTGATCTTGGTCTCTGCGGGGAGGTAGATAGTGATTCACAGAGGCCTTCAGGCTGAGGTGGGACATGGGGGTATGTGTCTGCCTGTGTGTGAGGTGGGCTTTCCACTCTGCTTCTTCAAACTGAAGAAAAGCTAATAAGCTAGTAAATCTAATCGCTTGTAACCCCACCTTGCGACCATGAAGTAAAATACTGAACTTTTGTGGCCTTTTTTTTTTTTTTTCCAAGCAGTCCTTAAATTTCAGTTTGGACAGAGAAACAAGAGGATGGGGGGCCGGGGTGGGAAAACCAAATGGCCCTTTGGAGGCACACATGCCTATTTGTGAGGAAGGTGACCATATATTATGTCATATTCCCAAAGGGCTTCCACCATGCTTCTGCATCTGCATGATCGCTTATTTTTAAAACCTAGTGCAGGAGATCAGAATGAAGCATTTGTGGTCATGATCAACCAATGGGGAAACATGGTCTAAATTCTACAAAGATATACTTGTTTTCTCCTTTGTAGGGCAGGTTCTCTTACAGTTTATTATGAATGCAAATCTCTTGGGGATCATGTTAAGATGTAAACACTTATTCAGTATGTCTGGGGCCTGAGATTCTGCATGTTTAACAAGCTGCTCCCAGGTAATGTTGATATAACTGCTCTGCAGATTCTCCTTTGAGTATCAAGGGTCTACAGGGCCATGGATGTTCAGTCTGTTGCACCTTGTCTTGACCACTAGACTTGCTTGTTATGGCTGTGTGTGTGCATGGCAGAGAGTCTCTTACTTGTGTGTATGTTTGTGTGTTAATGTATGCATTCTATGTAAATGTATACATGTGTGCTTAGGTAAGTATGTGCATGTTTGAGTGTGTATGTGCAGTGGAAATAAGGCTACTTAGAGCTCACTATAGCAAAGGAGTTAGCCACCATCACTTGCATTTGGCAGCAACTCAAAGGCAGGCAGAGAAGTGGGAAAGTTTTTTAGTGGAAAAAGGGGAAAGCTTCAGTTATGACCTGATTGGAGGCTGTTGGCACAGGGAAGCTGTAGGCAGGCTACCTAGAAGGGGCATCCTATGTGATGGTTAGGGATGCATATTTGGCTTTCTCTAGTTTGTTGATCTAAACTTAGGAAAAAGGAACCCTGACTCTACTCTCTAACTCTTCTCTCTATCCCAAAGACTCAGAGTTTAATGGTGACTTTTATTTTTGTCTCATTCTTCCAGAGACATAGCAATGGGTTCAGAATATATGACGAGGAGAAATTTATCAATGGAATGATCCTTTCCGAAACTAGTTTAAAGCATGAAGAACCTATCCTGTGGACCAGGGGTGAGATCCTTGGGAAGGGAGCCTACGGCACAGTAAGTTGAATGGGAAACAAGATGAAACCAAAAATCCCCACTCCTCCTTGCCCTCTCCTTCTTCTTTAATATTCCAATTGAGTTCTCCCCTCACAACCCCCCCATCATACTCTTTTGTTTAGAATCATTTCAGGTGCAAGTAGCAGGAAACCCAGCCCAAAATGGCCTAAGGAAAAATAGGTTCATTGCTTTACATAACTGAAGGATCTGGAGTCGGTGTGGCTCTGGGCACAGGTGGTTTTAGGGGTGAAACAGTGCCATCAGGAGCCGGCCTCTCTAATCCCTCCTTCCAGCTCTCATTGTCAGGCTCCATGTGGTGGTACAGTGGCCACTGCATTTCTAGCCTCTCTTTTTCCTACGTTCAAGTCCAGTGGGAAAGAAGTCTCTTTGTTCAGCTGCCCCGAATATGTTACCAGAAGTGGGGAGAATCATTGCTGAGAGGCAAAAACAAGACATTCCTTACATTTTGTGAATTGTGAAAAAGATTACTTGAAGTCCTAGTACTTTATAGACAGTATTTACATAGATTGGCAAAGAAAAGATGGACCTCCAGATAAAGCATGTTATGTTTCTAGCTGGAGACTTGGGATCAGTGAAAAGGCAGGAAGGAGGAAACCACTGAAATCATGTGACCAAGATGACTGCTGAATTTTCTCAGGACCTGCCTTCCTCTCTCTCCTCAGAGCTTTAGCACTAAAATATCCCTATTTTATTTATTGCATGAGGAGCTTTCCCAAACCACAATCTCTGTAGTCATCATAGATATCTGTAAGTTAAGTATTATTACCTCAGCTTTATAGACAAGAAGTTATGCAGCTGGGGAGTAGAGAAAGCCAGGATTCTAACCCATCCAGGCCATTTGACTCCAAGTCATTATTGTATCTATACACCATGCTGCTCCACCCCATCTTGGTTCCACTGAAACATTGGATTATATTTAATCATAAGGTGTTGATTTGCTTCTAGGTGTATTGTGGCCTAACTAGCCAAGGAGAGCTAATAGCTGTAAAACAGGTGGTTCTGGATACCTCTGATAAATTAGCTACTGAAAAAGAATACCAGAAGCTGCAGGAAGAAGTAGATTTGCTCAAAGCACTGAAACATGTCAACATTGTGGCTTATCTGGGCACAAGCTTGGAAGAGAACATTGTAAGCATTTTCATGGAGTTTGTTCCTGGTGGCTCAATCTCTAGTATTATAAACCGTTTTGGGCCCTTGCCTGAGATGGTGTTCTGTAAATATACAAAACAAATTCTGCAAGGCGTTGCTTATCTCCATGAGAACTGTGTGGTGCATCGAGATATCAAAGGAAATAATGTTATGCTCATGCCTACTGGAATAATAAAGCTGATCGACTTTGGCTGTGCCAGGCGTTTGGCCTGGGCTGGCTTAAATGGCACCCACAGTGACATGCTTAAGTCCATGCATGGGACACCGTATTGGATGGCCCCAGAAGTCATCAATGAGTCTGGCTATGGGAGGAAGTCGGACATCTGGAGCGTCGGCTGCACTGTGTTTGAGATGGCCACAGGGAAGCCTCCATTGGCTTCCATGGGCAGGATGGCAGCCATGTTCTACATCGGAGCTCACAGAGGCCTGATGCCTCCCTTACCCGAGCACTTCTCAGAAAGCGCGGCCGACTTCGTGCGTGCCTGCCTAACCAGGTAAGCAACTTGAAGCAGAAGGAGGAAGACAGATTCCCAGAGATTTCAAGCAGCTGACATTTCCCCTGCAATTTATGGCCCTTTCAGACACTGACTCCCATTATGAAGTCAAGTAAGGAGTGATTTTGCACTGAAAGGAATTATAACTAGCTGTTTTGGGTGATCGTGTGCCTTTTATCAGGGTGTGGGGGGTAATGCTTCAAGTAGAAAGTGCCACAATTAAATGTCTTATCAGGTCCTAACAATTCTTCCCCAAGTCAACAGGTGTGCAAAAATTGCTAAAGATCTACATACTTACTTATCAATGGGACATCTTTTCAGGGACGGGCCAAGGTGAAATGACAGCACTTGTGCTTAGATTTCCGCTTCCTTTCAGGAACCAGTGTTCTCATTCCCTTCCTAAAACCAGCCCTCAGAAAAGAATGTGAAAAGTTCATTCATATAGCCAGAGGAACAGGTCTCTCTAACTAGAGCATGTTAAGCCTCAAGCTGGGGATTATTTGGGAAAGCAGAAAATCCCCAATAAGTTGTCTGTCTCCTGTTCTGATGCCCCCTAGTATCTATGGAATAAAATTCTGGGTAAAAGGTTAGAACTCTAAGGGACCTTGGCGTTTACCCACTTGCATGGTTTTCAAACTTTTCTTAGCCAGACACTCTCTGCTCATACAAAATCTTAATTCAAAGAATGAAACATAAAAGTGGAGAGATGATTCGGGTTGAAATGTGTGTGTAAGGTTGGGGGAGGGATGGGGGTTCTGGAGCCTACTCACCTGGCCTCCAGGATGATGCTGAACAGCCTGATGAGGCACAACAATTAGATGCATGTACAGAACGAGGAAGACTTGGGACCCAGCCAAACACTATTTCCTGCCTTTCAATGAAACGTGCTTTCTTATTCCTAGATGAAAAGTTCCAGCGCCCCAGCTTTCAGCAAGCATATATGGCAACCGCCAACTCCCAGAGGGGTCATTATGTCTTTCTTAATGAATCTCAAGATACACAGATCTCCCTCTCCCAGCACACATATATCCAACCGCCCTGATAGTTTTCAGGAAATCATGGAGGTCAGGTCGGGAACACTTACCCCCGGGGTACAATCCTGGGCATCCCTAGGTGCAGAGACACCGCAGGTGTTCCAGCATCGATTTTGTGTGCAAAGCCCCAGATGGAGAGCTGCCCCTTCCTCCCTCCCAAAATCACAACTGGGACATAAAGGTGTTAAGAACATCATATGGACCGGTACCAGTTTTGGAGACTGGTCTTAGCTCTTAAAACTACAGTAGTTGTTTGTTCTGAATTGAATAATTATCTATGATTGAGCCACAGAAACTACTTGCCATTCTCATTTTCTTTCACGTTGTCATTACTCACATATGTGAGCATGTGTGTGCGTGCACGCGCACACACAGATGTAAAGAGAAAGTGTTTTCTATGGCTCTCCTTTGGAACTGTTGTTCTATAAACTAAGCAACACGCAAATCATGCCACTAATAATGAGTAGGGTTGTTGTGAAGGTTAAGTGAAATGGTGTATGCAAATTGCTTAGCATAGTGTGAGGCACATAATTAGGGCTCCTTGGTCAGTGACTGTTAGGGAGAATACTAACCCACCTTACCTAATTTGTGTCATACACAAACCTGTAATTATCTCCTGAAATTCTAAGGCAAAACCCTAAGTACTCTGGAGCCTGATGTCTATGAGAGCACTCCTTGGAGTGTGGATAGTCAGAAATAAAGGGGTAAGGCACCTCAAAGATTTGGAAGTAGGGATGAGCACAAGGACTGGACAGAACAGAGGTTAATTTCAGGGAGCAGTAAGAAGCAAGCATGGGCGGGGATATTCCTATGAGCAGGCTGAAAGCTCTGGAAAGTGAGGCCTTGGAGTTCAGCTTTGTTGCAATAGGCAGTGAGCGTTGGGGGACTGCAGAAGAATTGGGGTAGGGGTGCCATGAAGGAAAGTATTTGGGAAGGTAGGTCAGAGACATTTACTTTTTAAGTCCTCCAGTATAGGCTGCTTGAGGACTTAAAATACTGTAAAGAGGATTTCAGGACATTTCAGGGAGATGAATCAGAACTTGGTGATGGAGGATGATAAGATTTCATGGTTTTCAGTCTGGATAATGGACGAAATTGTAACAAAAAGTTGTGAAAGAGAAATAGAGGAGGAAGTTGCTGAGGGTCCTTTCATCCAATGAAGCATTTGATGCTATGGAATCGGAGCTCAGGAAAACAATTAAGATCAGAGGCACATATTTCAGAATCATAAGGCTGGTAGCTATAGTCATGGAAAAAAAAACTAGAGGCTGCAGATTATGATTATGAAAATGGGAGAAGATAACAATATGTATATAGTGTTGAGTCTAGCACACAACTGGTAAAAAGGAAAAGAGGGAAGAGAGAAAGAGGGAGGCAAGGGAATTGCTCCAAGACAGATGAAGAACCAAGAGAACAGTTTCTCCTAAGCAGAGATCACTTCAGGAAAGAGAGGGTAATGAATACTTCAAATGCTACAGAGATGACAAGGAGAATGAGTTCATTAAACTTGGGAATGAGAAAGTCATGGTTAGTTTTGGGTTTTTTAAAAAAAGATTTGTTATTTTGAGAGAGAAAGGAAGGGAGAAAAAGAGGGAGGCAAACATCGATGTGAGAAACATTGATTGGTTGCCTTTTCTATGTGCCCTGACGGGTGCATGGATCCACAATCCAGGCATATGCCCTGATCAGGAATTGAACTGGTGACCTTTCGTTCTGTGGAATGACACCCAGCTAACTGAGCCACATCAGTCAGGACATCATGGTTAGTTTTGACAGGGCAATTTCTATGTAGAGAGGAGTGGGCTAAAGGTTAAGAATTTAAGATAATGACTGTTGAAAAAGTCACTGCTTTTGGTCATAGTATGAAAATTTGGCAGGAATAGAGGAAGTAAGATGGCAACTAGAAATGGTAGCCAGATTAAGGTAAGGATTTTTTGGAGAAGAGAGATTTCCACATATTTTGAAAGCAAGAGAAAGAGCCTCCAGAAGGGGAGAGATTTTCATTTGTAAATGGTTTATCATCACTTTTTTCCCCAAAGTATTTTATTTCCATTTTCACCTGGGCTATTCTTGGTGGTTATTTGCTTCAAAACTTATGCAAAGATGCCAATTTAACCAAAAGAGTGCTTTTGGAATAGGTTATTGCAGATAACTATTGACTGGTTCATTGGCAAAAACATTTTGATTTCTTGTGGGGAAAAAAAACCAAAAGCACAATTGTACTATTGTAATTGTGCAACTTCTCCTTTTACTTTGTGCTTTTCCAGGAGTGCCCCAAATAGGATTATTTCAATTAATCACCAAAGCATACTTAAATGTCCTTTTAATGGTTTTTCAATTGTGAATTTCAATGCCTCAAAATTTTAAAAGTAAATTTATTGGTAATTAGAAGTGCATTAAGCTTTCTAAAAAATTATAATTTTACTTGTGTATAAATTATACCCAAACTGAACATAACCCCAATGTGAAAAATAGGGCTTACTTTTTAATCATAATCATTACTATTTTTTTTTAACAATTACTATATGCCAGACACTGTTTAAAAGCTGTACATACATTATTTAATTCTCCCAATGAGTTAGGTATTACTGTTATTCCCATTTTGCTGATGAGAGGAAACTTTGAGTCACTTGCCTAAGATCACACAGCTGAAGACTAGAGCTGGACTCAATCCATCTGTTTGACTGGCAGAGATTGTACTTTCATCTTAAAGTTGGCATTTTGAGTCAAGTAGACCTAATTGGTATGCACATTTTTGGGTGTTGCTTCTAATGTTCTTTCCCTTCTTAGGGACCAGCACGAGCGACCTTCTGCTATTCAGCTCCTGAAGCACTCTTTCTTGAAGAGAAGTCTCTGAATATACACCAAGACTTTCCAGTTCCATTATAGATAATCTGTTATTGCTTCATTGTGGGAATGATGGTTGAAGGACCTTTGTTTTCCCACTGGAATGTCAATCTAACCCAATTTAACCAGATCCTACAGTGTCACTAACTGAAAAGTTACATATTAGTCTCTTAAAGCTTCAGGCATAATTACTTATGTATATGAGAAAATTTTCTTAAACAATAACCAAAAAACCTATCCCAGTGTTTATAGTTTTGACTATCCAGGAACTATAACCTCTATTGCTTATGCAACATTTTTTTTCTTCTCCTGTCAATTTTAATGTCATTAGTTTAAAATAAATTGTAAAAATGAGAAAATTGTATTTAACTGCTTGGTGGGTAAAGACACATTTCATTTTTACAAGAGACTTGAGGAAGGTGAAAAGTTAAAAGTAGAGAAACACTAGATTCTGTTTATTTTGGCAGCGATCTTAACCTTGCAGTTTAAAGGAGCTTCAAGGTTAACAGGAAGAGCTAAGGGCCTTGGTGTTTCATTATCAGAGGGTCTCCAAACTCCTCTGAAGACTCCACTGACAAGAAGCTGGGTTATTCAAGGTGGCTTCATAAACCTCAGGCTGCTTTCCCTGTAATTTATACAGTATGGCTCCAGATCTTCACTTGTTTGCAGAGTGATTTGGATCATTGCCACATCTAGAACTTGCTAAACCTAAGCCAGCTGGTGGGATAAAGCCAGGTTGCGTAGGCGGAGAGTGAGTCAGCATATATAAACTTTACAGGAAACTTGGCTTTCATTTGAATGAAGGACATCCCCACTTAGGTCCTTCTTCACCTTCATTTCCCCAAAATGGTAAATATCACAAAAATGAATACAGACCAAGTTGTCAAAATTATTACAAGCCCTTAAGTTGGTGGACTAAGCGTATTTTATAAGGTTTCTATAGCTATCAACCACCCATCTACTAAACTCATTGAGACCTATTGTGTTTAGTTATAGCTACACTTTTAAAAACTGGCTGCTATCATTTCAATATGGTACAGCTACAACTTCAGGTGTATTCTAACACCAGAAGTCAGATTTTGTTAAAATCAAGCTGCCTGCTTCAAGTTTTTGAGATACAAATGTGAAATGCAGTCCAGCTGAAGTAAAACAAGTTTTACTTTTGTCAAACTGTTAGATGGGTCTTTGTGGACACATCTTCCTTCTTTTACTCTAATTTGTACAGTTCTCCTATTTGACAGGAATTTAAGGAACGTGTCCCTTATTTTGCCTTCAGACGTACATTTTTATTGCATTTTGCTTTATTGCACTTTTTTTTTTTTTTTACAAATTGAAGGCAAGACCCTCCAGCAGCAAATATGAGGACTCACTTTATTGCAGTGCTTTGGAACCACACCTACAATATCTGTGAGTTACGCCTGTGCTTGTATATCAACAGAACCTGAAAGATTTTGTTAAAGTAGGGCTTAAAAAGAAACTTAGTTCGGATCTTTAGTATTCTTTAAAATCTGAATGGTATTATCTTACTTTGGAGCAATTATTTACATTCTAGCCTATGAAACCTTATGGGGAAAGGGCAGGAAGATGTTTATTTTATGTATGCAAATCACAGTAATGGACACAAGCTTTGGTGTTAACTGATTCCTCTTTTGACATGGAACTCTGAACAGTTTTAGAATATTAAACAGAACCTTCAAAACATTAAAGTTCCAATAGGCAAGGCTTGGTCCTAAGATAGTTGTTTTGCTGGCCAGTGTGTTGAAGTCCTAACAGATTGGAATTCTGCTCTTATCAAAGCCCAGGTACTTGATCCCTTACAGCTTCCTTAGTAGGAAAAGGATATGGAAGGAGAGTAGAGTGCAGAGAAGTGGGGATTCTTACTAGGAAAATGCACATTTAATTCTGTTTGCTGTTTGGACTGGTAGGTAGTAATGATGAGCAGGTCTGAGAGATAATTTTCTCAAGGCTCCCCAGCTGGTAGGTGGGAGCTGGGATTGCCACCCCAATTCATGACTTCAGAGCACTTTCCCTGCTACCTCCCAGGTTTGTAGTTTATAAGTAATATCAGTTACATAGTTAAATTTTACTCAAACTTCACTGAGATGCTGATAAATTCACCAGTCCTGTTAGTGATTTTTACTATTACTGGTGTGAAAAGATGTTCACTTTTCACTTAGCAGCATTACCTTCCCTCTATGATCACCTCTTTCACCCAGTACAACGCACCAAGTTTCAGAGGTGCATTTCATCATGTGCTCAATCTTCCTGTACGCTCTGGGCCCCTCATTCAACCAAAGGAAACTTAACTTCCTGAAAAAACATCTGAAAGCAGATCCAACTCTACTGCATTTCCCTTAACTTGAAACTACTTAAGCCCTTACACTGTTGCCATTTCTCAGTGGCTGAATTACGAGTTGCCATAGTGGAAGAGTGAGCTTTCAAACAGGGGACTGGGGAATACTGTATTCGACTTACTTGCTTCATCCAGTCTCTCCTGCAGGACCACAACAGTCCTGTGCCTTCCATAGTGTAATCAGTAGCTCTGAGAGATTAAAACAAGCACAAAATAAAACTCTTTATCTGCTCAATGAGCAGTCAAAAGCCTCCCTCACCTATTGGTCAAATATTCCTCATACTTGCTGCACTCGTATTAGTTCAATTTAAAGCAGCTACATAATGTACAAACTTGCATTTATAAAGGCTTGCCAGGTGATATCAATTTGAAAGCACCCGGTGTTGGTAGTCTACATTTTCATTTTTACTCAACAAGGTTAACAAGTTTGTATATCGGCATCACAGTGTGAAAAGCTGAAATAGCAAACAGTGGAGAATGGCTATGGGTTGGCCGAAAAGTCCGATAGTTTTTTCTGTAAAAGACACATATCCATCAATAACTTTATTGGATACTTTGAATATGTCATTTATTTCCCATGTGGTATATCCTTGATTGTTCTAAATGTCTGTCTGGTCACTATCAACTTCAACTGACTGGGAGTGAACCCTCAACCTTTTGGTTTATGAAATGATGCTTCAACTGGGCGCACTGGCCAGGGCTCATTTGTTTTTAGCCCTTGCCCAGTACCCAAGCCTTAAACCTCACACCCTGGGACAGGTACTGTTCCCAAGATTCTCCAGGGAAGAAAGTGGTGGGGCCAAGACTGGAAAGCGGACAGTCTGATCCCTGAGGCCACACTCCTTGAATGTATCTGAAATTACTCAGAGTGACTTATATTAGAAACCTTATTTCCCACATTTCCCAGGGACTGTAAATTCTATCTGATTCACATTAACAAGACATGTTAGAGCCTTGGATTTACATTGTTAATATACAAATTTTATTAGTTCCTTGTAATAGATACCGAGCTGAAATTCAATGACTAACTGAATTCATGCCATATACATATTCCTGTTTTGGATTTTCTATCAGCAAACATCCTATTCAATAGTCCTTGGGGGATTTGAGAACATTTAGAAAATGAAATCCCAGTCATTGTTAACATAATGAGTACAAGCGAAGTTTTTCAAACCAAGTGAAACTGCTTGAAAAACACACTTTAAAAAAAATCAGAATGTACTCATTAACAATAGGTAAATCAAATTAAACCAACAAATAAACAAGTTTTAAGTGAGGTTTCCCCCCAAACTTGGAAGGGAATTACACAGCCTTCAGAATTTACTTTTGAGACTAACTGGTCACAGTGAACAGTTAAGTCACCTTTATAAGAACAAAATTAGTCCTAGCCACACCATCTTTAAAGTATCTTGTTTACCAATCTACTTCAAGAACCTGTCAGGGAGAACAGATACTGGTAAATTACACAGGATAAAGAGTCACAGGTGCAAAAGCCAGCTGTGCCCAACTCTACATTGTGGAAAATGGATACATGGCGTCAGAACAATTTGAGCACCCTGGACCCACTGGCTGTAAAGATGTTTGAGGCAAACTTTTCTCTTACAAAACACGCAAACTTCTGAGTTTAAATGTCAGCTTATAGCAATCAAATTTCAGATACTAACATAGCTGAATTTTGAATTTTCAAATCAACACATTTGTATAGTAACTAATTTGGCACCCTAGGCAGCCAGGGACAGAACATGCTGCTTTTCTAATGTAAAAGCCCCTGTCTAAATCAGCCCCTTATAAGCAAATGAGCACACAAGATAGTAAGATATCTTATAAATTATTCAGCAATTTAAGCATGGTACTAGGTGAGAAACATTTTCTGTTTAGATAAAAATTTGGGAATGGGGAGGTATTTGGAGAATAGAACCATCTTCCTTTACAGGTAAGAAAAACCATGTTTAAAAAAATCCTTCTATTTCCTTAGTAAATACAAAACCTGTATCTAATAAACCAAGGGTACCTAAAGAATTCACAACATTCATTCACACATAAGCAGTGATTTATTTCTATGGTTGGTTAAGGGGGAAAAAATCAACAATTTAAAATATCAAACATAACCAAAATACGTGCTTTAAATGCTTTTAAGGCTAGGCAAAAAAAAAAAAAAAAAAAAAAATTAATTTGGTTATCTAAAGTGGACCTCAACTAGTCATTTCTTTAGTTCTAAGGGCATAGACAGGCCAAAAATTAAGGTATACTACTGACAAGAGAAACAGCACACCAGAGGGTGGGAGAGACAGGAAATAAAAATTAGTTCACAGAGCCTAGGGCTGAAACCAAGAAAAGGCTGTTCACATTCCTGAATGAAAGTTGAACCTTAGAATTAAACTCCAGGTAGCAATTCCTGTGATTGTCTAGAGAGAACAGCCATTACCAGATGATGCCTCACACACTTCACACATGAATATTCCAGACTGTTGCCCACAACCAATGCAAAAGCCTATCCTAGAACTGTCCTGATTAACCTGTTCCAGCCCCTTTTATCTAGAGCCAATGTAAATTCTCTTGTAACCTGCCCGCTTCTTCTTCAAAGTATAAAAAGAGCCCCGTCAACCCCAAGATGGTGGCATGTGTGTCTTCTCCATCCAGCCTGCTGCTGGGGGTTTAGACC